ATTATGGTAAAAATTTAGGGTATGACAACCGTCCTTAAACAAATCTTTATTGTCCATTTGATGAGTATCAACGCTCAAGAAACAACCATTAGTGATTCGCATGAAACCTAAAATACATTATAAAAGCATTATGAATATTAAAAATTTATAATAAAATATTTGACATGAAAACTTTGAAGCTTAAATAAGCTTGAAAAAGTTCTTTATGATGGATTGCAAGAGTAAGAAATTATTTGGGTTCAAGGTTTGTATTCTTAAATAATTATATAATTGAATATTTATTTTATTTATGTAACATTTTTGTTTTATATCATAAACAAATGAATACAAAAGCCATGGAGAATATATTGCATCTAAAATTTGATCTTTCCTAAACTATCCAGCATTTGTTATATATTCTTACTTTAATATTCCTTGTAAATAATGTAATATTCTATATAAATAATTTAGTTTGTAAACAATTTAATTTATTAATATTATGTGCAAACAATGTAATGAGTATTTAAAAAGATAGAATTTATATTTCCCCTCGATTTTGGCCATAAACTAAGAGGTATGTGGCACTAATTTTGAAAATATAAAAAAGTTATTGTTGAGGATCAAACCAATGATCATTTTAACTATCCCTCGGTTATTCTATAACCGATGGGTCTAGTAGAAAGTTTTCATGTGCCCTTCGTTACCTCGCCTCTATAACCTAGGTTAAATTAACTTTGCGTCTAAGGATAAATGTATCTTTTATAGTGGTGGAAGGAAGGAATCAAAGGAGTCATGTTGAAGAGATACAAGACAAGGTTGGTTGTTACGGGGTTCACTCAAAAAGAAAGAGTCGACTTTAATGATGTTATTCTCTCTTGTTGTGAAGTACATATCCATTTGAATGTTGTCTTCCATGGTGGAACGTTTGACCTAGAGCTGGAACAGATGGATGTGAAGAATGATTTCTTGTATGGTGATATAGATGAAACAATCCTCATGAAGCAATTTGGATGATATGAAGAAAATGGCATGGAAGATTATGTGTGCAAGCTGAATAGGTCATTATATGGCTTGAAGCAATCTCCTAAGTAATGGAATATGAGATTTAATAGGTTCATGGTACACATAGGTTTCACTATGAGTCAGTTTGACCATTATGTTTACTTCAGATTTTGACATGCGACAATATTAAAGTGGTATTGAGAGTAAAGGCTAAACTTATATAGGAGTTTAAGGTAAAGGATCTTGTTATTGCCACCACGATCCTTGGGATTTATATCTGGAGAGATAAAAAATAGTGGAGATTATGCTTATCTTAAAAGACATACTTGCAGAAGATTCTCGAAAAGTTTGCTATGTCGAATTCAAAGCCTGTTGTGACTCTAACAAATCTTCAATTCAAGTTGAGTGTAACTCGGATTCCTAGTACTGAGGTCAAAAAAGCCTATATAAATAGAATATCATATGCTAACATAGTAGGTTCTTTGATGTATGTTATGGTATGTACTAGGCCAGACATAACATATGCAGTGAGCCTTGTAAGCAAGTATATTTCCAACCTATAAATATGTATTGGCAAGTATTAAAGTGGATTCTTAGGTACATAAATGGATCTCTAAGCAAAGTTTTGATTTATCATGGATCCAAAAGTGATAACAAACTTGAAATTGAAGAATTTGTCGACTTTGAATATGCGAGTTATATAGATTCCTGAAAATATCTTTCTTGATGTTTAACACAACAATCAATTGGAAAACAACACTTCAGAAGGTTGTTTTCTTATCAACCACTAAAGTAGAATACATTGATCTCGCTGAAGTTATGATATAAGCATTGTGGCTTGAAGGTTTTGTTAAGGAGCTGAAAGTGCAAGGTTAGACAATCACTGTTGAATGTGATAGCCAAAGTTTCATACACCGTCGAAGAATCCAGCCTATCATGAGCGAGTCAATCAATTTGATGTTAAGTTAGATTTCGTCAAAGAGATAATCTAGCGTGGACAAGTCCAAGTGCTGAAGATTTTGACTGATAAAAATGTTGCTAATATGATCATCAAGACATTTTCAAGTTGCAAGTTCTTTCATTGTATGCAACTAATAAGACTGTATGATAACAGCTAATTCGTTTCATGCTCCAGAGTTTTGTTCCAAGGCAGAGATTTGTAGCTTATGGGTTATAAGGTAGTGTTGTATTAAACTTTGTTGAAGTCGAATAGCTAATTTAGTTGTCGAAATGGACTAGTATGTTTGCATTTGTTTAGTGTGTTAGTTGAAATTTAGGGTTTTAGTTTCCTTATAAATAACATATTAGTCTTCACTTCTGAATAACTCTGATTACGGGAGAAAGTTGTGTGGTTGAGATTCAATTGTAAATATTATTCACTAATGTGTAATTGAATCAAGAATCCAGGGTTTTATACAACTTTGAATCGTCTTTCTTTTCTTTCTTCTCTGTTTCTCACGTCGTAGTTTTCTTGTTGATAAACAAACTGATTATACTTTGTTTTCGTTGCATCGATTTCACAACAACCTTAACCAAACTCTATTATAAAATAGAATAATTTGAAGAAAGTGTTTATGGAAAGATTTTTTTTCGGCCTCAAGAGTTGCTTTAATTATAAAATTAATAGGTGGCATTAGATAAATTAAAAGAGAATCCTTGAATGAGTAATGAGAGAGATTCAAGAAAATATTGCCTAGTTGTTCTCAGCACCAGATAAGTGAGCAATGGTTTATCCAGTAATTCTATGAAGGATTGCTACTTATGGATAGAAACGTCTTAGATGCTACTAGTGGTGGAGCACTTCTTAATAAGACTCCGGAATAAGAAAAATCATTGATTGAAAATATGTCACATAACTCTAAGCAGATCACAACTATAAACAATTAAGTGGTATTGACAAGAGGAATAAATGAGATTTAAGCTTCTTCTACATTCCACAATCTAAAGAATATACTTGATGAGCTTACTTCTACGAAAAATAGTTATCAGTATGTAAAACTCAAACATCAGGGGTTTGTGGTATTTGCACTTATCTTAAGCATCCAACAGATTCGTGTCCTACATTGCAAGAGGATCTTCCAAATTGTGGATTTCCTCAAATATGCAGCAAACGCATATAATCATCAAACCAACGACTATGACATGTACACCAACCCAGATTTATCCATTAATAAGTATCACCCTAGACCATTAAAACCTAAGGTATGGAAATTCACCTGTACGACAACATCTTAGACAACAATGAAATAATCCACCAATGGTTTGATTTGAACTTTTAATAGAGAACCTTGTCAAACAAATGATTGTCCAAAATCTCCAATTTCAACAAATAACAGATTCCACCATTAAAAATTTAGAGACAAAGATTAGACAGTAGGTCGCTTAAATTAATCATATGTATGCTTAAGGATCAAGCTAACTGCCTACTTAAATAATAGTAAATCTAAATATTTCTAGTGACAATATCATTAGTTTGAGATAAGGCTAAATTGTTAAACCAACACCTAAAAGAAATAATTTTAAAAAAAATTTGAGACCACTTTGGCACCTCGACCTGTTGATGTTGAGTAAGAACAACCTACATTACTTACTTTCCTTTTTCCTTCAAAGAGCAGTTAAAATTTTTAAAAAACAAAAACAAAAAAGGATCTATTAGATATATTAAGAAAGGTAGAAGTGAACATTCCACTCCTCGAATAAATTAAACAAACTCTAAAATATGTCAGGTTTCTCAAATTCTTATGCACATGCAAGAAGGCTATAAGGAAATGAAAGAGTTGGACATGCCCAAAAAGTGCACAGATCGATAAACTTTTTCCATTACACGCACCTTAGATGATGGTAAATTTGAAAATTTCATGTTTAACCTACGTGTTTCCATTAATGTTATGCCTACTTTTGTTTTTAACACTCTTTCTCTTGTACATTTACAGTATACATGTGTTACCATTCAGCTAGCAATTAGCAAGTAGAAGCCCTGCTCGTCTAATTAGAGAAGTGGAATGCGTCCTGTTTTGAGTTAATGAATTGATATTTCCTATGGATTTTACACTCTAGACATGGAGGGAGAAACAAAGTTCAGCAAGATGCCTATCATTTTAAGCTAACCATTCTTGAAATTTGGTATAAAAAAATTGATGTTAATGCTGGAACTCTTTCCATGAAATTTAGTTATACTTTGTGTTGAGATTGAAGATGTTTTGCATGTCAATATTTCCTCTGACATTTCTACTAACACAGTTGATCATGTAGATGTAACTCATACTAAGACAATTGATTTTGTAGATATAACTCCTCCTAACAAAATTTTACCATCCATTGAACAGCCTGCTTTAGATCTTAGTTAATCCCTAAAATTTTCAAATTATACTACCACCACACACAAAAAAACTATTGTATTCACTTTTTTGTTGATCTAAATTTGAAGATCAAAGATAAAAATGAAGTTGAGATTCTAGTGGTTGATCACTTGAATAACATGGTTGATCACTTCAGCAAAATAGAGAAAGATGATTTTTCTGATGACCAACTTTCACATCTGCGTGATAACTCATTAGCTTTTTGATTTAGTTAATCTTACTATTGGAGTACTTCCAGATGCATCTATAGGACAAGTTCTCAAATTTAAAAGTAATGAGAAAAATATTATGGGTAGGATAAAGAGATATCATACATGCCTTTGCCCACACACAAAAAAATGATACATGACACCAATATAACATAGTTTGGACGAGAAAACGAGAATGGTTAAAATCATTTGAAACTCAAATCTCAAATTAAATCTAAATTAAGTTTAAAAAATTTCAAATCATAAAACTAAAAATTCCCCCTGATCGGAACCTAGTAATGCTCAATAGGGGAGGCAACATGAGCCCTGAAGGCAAAAAGTTGTTTGTCATTCTCATAAAACAAAAGGCTTAATTGTTTTTTATTTATAAGGTTTAATTGTTGATGAGACAATTATTACACAAAAATATCCACCATCATCAAGGGTGTGATTTGAAAACAATAGTTAAAATTTAGGCAACTCGGGTAACAGCTGCATGTATTGCATCCGCCAGATGTGGGACTGTTCTGGAGCTCAAACCAGCCATGCTAATCCTCCTGCACAATAAACAGTGCATGTTGAGTAATACTGAATTCGGGCATAAACAAAAAAGAAAGTGCATCATACTCGTCCGAACTCATTGAATAAGTCAGAAATGAATTCGTCTTACCCATCAGAAGTCATGTAGATATGATACTCTTTATTCATGAAGGAAACTTGCTCAGGATTCAATCCTGTGAAGGTAAACATTCCAATCTGCTTGATAATGTGACTCCAATCACCTGGTGTACCTGTTTGTTCAATTAATCAAGAGATAAGTACAACTGCGATACATAGTTAATGGATACAATACAAACCAAATGAATTGTAAAAGATACTTTGAAGAAACCAACCTCTAGTGCGTAAAGCATCAAAAAGTTGTTGGCGCATGTTGATAATGCGTTCAGCCATTGCCTTCAATTCAATAGTCCAATCATTGTACAGATCCCTGACAGAGAAATAAAACTTGTAAGAAGCAAGCAATGAGAAAGAACAAAAATGAAAGCCAATAACAAATCCATATTTCTTAGTCTAACTAAGGAAAGAGGAAGAATCTTGGCTCACCGGTCCTTGAGAATGGCAGCTACAATGGATGCACCATGAATGGGAGGACTCGAGTACATGGGCCTAATCACAAGTTTCAGCTGGCTCTCAACCCTGCCTGCAACATCAGCTGACTTGCTGACCTGGGGATAATTTGTTGTGGAAAAGGAAAATCAGGGAAATTCAAACAACACACATAAGTTATGGAAAAACTTTTTTATATAAAAAAATATAAATTTATGAATCATGTTGTCATCTGTGCTAAAATGATAGCAAGATTCAAATTGTAATCAGGGGAAAAACCAGATTGAATAGAGCGAAATCCAAGCCCTGCTTATTGAACATTAATGATGAAACTTATTAAACTATCTTCACTAAATGTTTTGAAATTCTTACAATGTTCAAAGCACCAACACGTTCACCATAAAGACCCATGTTCTTTGCATAACTCTGGGCTGCCAGCAATTCACCACCATCAGCAACAAACAAACGAATAGGCTGGGCATCTGCATCTAGACTTCCACTGGCAAAACCCTGTTGAATAAAAATAGATATAACTTGAGAAGAGTTTTCGAAAAAATAACGGTGGAAAAATATTACTTTATCAAGCATGCAATATGCCAAGAAATGAGAAGCTTCAGGATTCAAGAGATTTGAAGTGGTTGGATTTGTGATTTTGAAGTAAATAATTTGTAGATTATGTCCACGCACAAATTTCTCAATGATAAAAAGCAAAAAACACTATGTTAAATGCAAAGACGCTTGCCTGATAAGCACTGTCAAAGAAAGGCAACAGAGATTTTGATCTTATGAGCTGTCTAATCTGCTCCCACTGTTCAAGTGTTGGATCAACACCAGTAGGGTTGTGTGCACATGCATGTAGCAAAACAACAGATCCAGATGGGGCAGAACCAAGATCCTCTAGAAGTCCTATAAGGAACAAGGAAGCAAAAAGTTTTAAATAAATCTAACTATGTTATTGAATATTTATCATGATGGATGTTGGGACACACATGAACATTGATACATATTAGAAATTAAGGAATAGCAATCTACGGGTTGATACAATAATTCTAACCTTGGAAGTCGAGGCCCCGTGTTGCTGGAGCATAGTAGCGATATGTTTTGACAGTTAAACCTGCCAAGGCGAAAATCTTTGTATGATTTCCCCAAGTAGGTTGTGGCAAGTATATAATCCGCTGAAAAGATCAATGCAATCAAACAAAGTAAGCCCAACGATTCATACAGCAATATCAGTCAAAAATGATAGAAGGTAGAAAAAAAAATTAAGGACAGAGCACTTTACTTGGTGATAGTGCTTAGCCAAAAATTCACCCCCAACTCTTAAAGAACCAGTACCAGATAAGCCTTGAACAGTGCTAACCCTGTTCTCTTGAATAGCAGGGCTATATTCAAAAGAGTCAGCAAAATAACAGTTAGGAACAAACGGGTAAGAAGAATATTTAAAAACAAGAAATGACAGATTAACCAAGAAATGTTAAAATTATAACATCAAGTTTCAATTGTTAACCTGTCTGCACCAAAAATAAGCTTAGCACTTAATTTGTTAAAATCAGCTAGCCCGGCAATTGGAATATACTCCTTGTTGCGTGACCTGAAAACAATGCAGAACCGAACTTTATATAAAACTTGAATCAAGGTTACTCTTTGGAAATGAGCAAACAAAAGCATAGTGAGTCAAGTACTAACAAATCGTTCAACAGTTGGTGTTCAACTCGCCTCACTACATCCAACACAAGGGGTTTACCTTCCTGGTAAATAGAACAATCGATAGCATTAGTAAAATTCACAAGTCATAACCAATATGTAGAATTTCAAAACTTGCCTTGCAACTTTAATCGACCCTTTCATTGTTAATCAACTAATTATTCCTTAACATGCATTTTCAGTGGACAAATTATGCAAATGATGATTATGTATTAGTACTACTACTTCTGTTTCAAAATTAATTGTGTTTTAGATTATGATTGGATTAACGAAATGCAATGGAATGAAGTAGAATTGAATGAAATAAAGTTATGTTTCATCGTTTGGATTAAAAAGAGGATGGAATGGTGCGGGGGATTCCTTACTTACCCTCGTTATCCTGATTAAAAAATATCCAAACAATGGAATAAAATATTCAATTCACTATGCTCCACTCTTAGTTTAGAAATACATAGCCTATGGGTTCTTAACCAGATTAAAAAATACATTGAAAATTTTTACTAAACTAACCCTATTAAAATACATTGAAAATTTTTACTAAACTAACCCTATTAACTGTTGATGTTTCCGCATCCGGTAGAATTGGAATAATTAATTAATTATATCTTCAAAATGAATTTTTTACAAATTACATTCATTTTTAAAATATTTTTTTATTAAAGCAACATACACTTCATATTGAATGTGTGTTAAATTCAGACACCTATATATGTGATTTATTGTCCAAAATAACGAAGAAATAGAATTGAAAACATATATGAGGCTAACCTCAGTTCGGTAAGCACCAACGCCCAAGTTGAGCTTAATAGGACTTGGATCTTTGTTGTACGCAACAGTTACCTAATTTTCAAACACAAACAAAAAAATAGAGAGGTGAGATAACAGAGCAATCATGAGGTCACTATCAAAATAGCGTAAGCTTCACATGTCACAACAGAACAAAACAATTCTAATAAGTAACATATCAAACCATCATCATCAAAAACGTACCGCTTTGAAATTCAAAGCAAACGAAATCAAAACGCTACACGGAATCGATTAATTCTCATAATCTCAAATAAATAAATAAATAATAACCGAAACGAATTAACAAAATAACAAAATCCGTTAAGATCACGGTCTAAACGAGATCTAAAATTCGGAAGATCAAAAAGGATAAACAAATTGTGATCCGATAATCGAATAGAAAGAGAAGAATAGTTAGTTACCCCGAGGATAGGATCTTCGGGAGCTTGAGTGATGTGAGCGAAAACGGAATCAGAAGAAGCGGTTGGAGAAGGAGAAACGTGAGAAGCCATTTGATTATGATCTGGAAACTGAGAAAGGTGTCTTGCGAGAGTGTTTAGCCTGCGATCAGATGGAGAAGAATAAGAAGGAGAAAAGGTGGCGGAAGGTTCGAGAATAACCGGTGGGCGCATGTTGTATGTTGGGTGGTGTATATATATTCTGTGTATGAATTTTTCTGGTTTTGTTTTTGTTTGAATGTATGCTTAAAGCTTATTATAACTGTATATAAAAGGAAAACTTTTCTAAATATATATATTTTTTAAAAAATTTTAAATTTTAATTTCTTTTTTTAACAAATGATGTTTTATTACCTTTTATACTATTATTTATTATTATTATTTTAAAAATTAATTAAAAATAAGACTGTGAAGTCATATTAAAAATTAATTAAAAGTTGAATAAATATGACTTCACAGTCTCAGTATATTACAAACTCTTCATTGACATTGCGAATTCAAACGAAACACATTAAATTCGACAACTACATTTCAATAGCGGGTAAAGTTTACTTAGCGGTACTGGAGTTGGTTTACCATAAGTCTTAATTTTCCTGACATGATTCTTCTTGTTCAATCTCTAGCTTTAAGAAATTTGAGGAGGAACAAACACTGAGTGCTGAGAGTCTTTTCTGGTAATCATCTGATATTTGTGCCTACGTATGCGTATTCGGACGAGAATGAGAAATCAGAGTTCTCGTAGTTCGACTGCAGGAAAGGTTACAGGGTAAATAGAGGATGGATAAAAGGTAGAAAAGGTGGAAAAGGGAAAAAGGTAGGTGCAAACAGATGAAAAAAAGAAAAGGTGGTTCGCCAAGATCATCGCAATCTTATGCCTACGTATCTTCATTCAGACAAGAATGAAGAATCAAAGCGATTGTAGTTTATGGAGAAGACCATGAAAAGAAGGGGTTTGAGTTGTTGAAATTTGGTTTGGAAACGAAAGATTGAATGACAAACAACCCAAGGGGCGTGCCTCGAAAGCTGTCACTCAAGAACCCAAGGAATGTGAGATTCCAAGAACTCAGTTCTTTCGGGAGTTGATTGAAAAGGTTTGAGGAAACATTGAATGTTTTAAAATCGAAATATTGATTGAACAACCCAAGGGGTGTGCCTTAAGATCCATTCATTCGAAGATTCAAGGAATGCTAGATTCTAAGAATCTCCTTCTTTCACAAGTTGATTAAGAAAATGTTTGATAAAGATTAAGTGTTTTAAGATGAAAGGATGAATGAATAATAATCCAAAGTGTGCGCCTCAAGAGCCATTCATTCGAAGATCCAAGGAATGTTAAACTTCAAGAATCTTCTTCTTTCGTAATTTAATTAAGAAAGCGATTTGAAAAAGATAGAATCAGATTAGTTGTGAAAAGAGGTTGATGATAAGGCAAAAGGCACTCGTCTTAAAAGTTTGAATAAAATACCACTTGACGTTGGATCAAGGGTTTGCGAAAGAGGTGAGAATCAATACTAGTGCTAGGGGTGCTCCTAATAACAAAACTATGACAAAATATGTAAGTGTATGCGTTAAGTTGATGGTGAATACTAATCAACAATCAAATTACAAGGGTGTTTGAAAATGGCTCAATGACGAACCGTGAATTAGTTTGAAAATGGTTTAGTCTCTGCTCTCTAGGTAGGAAGGGTTTGAAGACGTATCTGGAAGAACATCAGATAAGCAACAAAGGAGTTCTGGAAGAACGTCAGAACCGAAACTCGGTCTGGAAAAACATCAGAAGGAGAAACATATCCGGAAAAACATCGAATAGATTCTGGAAAAACATCAGAATTAAAGGAATATCTGGAAAACTGTCAGATAAGTTCTGGAAGAACATCTGAACAAAAACTCAAACTGGAGAAACATCAGAGAGAGCAACAAATCCGGAAAAACATCGGATAGATTCTGGAAAACCATCAGATAAGTTCTGGAAGAACATCAGAACAGAGACTTAATCTAGAAAACCATCAGAAAGAGAAGCATATCCGGAAAAACATCGGATAGATTCTGGAAAAACATCAGAATCAAAAAAGAATATCTGGAAAACCATCAGATAAGTTCTGGAAGAACATCAGAACAAAAACTCAAGCTGGAAAGCCATCAGAATGAGAAATAGATTCGGAAAAACATTGGATAAGAAACATGCCATATTTGGAAAAACAACAGATAGACACGACGCAAACTGTTTAGTAGGTGCCAACTGAGTTGGACCTTGACCACAAGGTAAGACGTGGATAAAATACAACCTCAGGAGAAATGCAAATGAGGATGAGACACTCCTGACATGCATATGTATATAAACTATGTTACGATATATGATCAAATGTAAATGCAGATGTCGACGACAAGGCTCGACTCTTCTGGTGAGATGAAAAGACTGAAGAACTGATTCCTCAACACATATATCACCGCTATTCTGCTAAATTTTATCAACTTGATAGTCCCTGTAGAAATGATGAAGAGTTGTCTGGGGATCCTTCAAGTAAACTGCCCTAGATTAAATTGTCTGTTGTAGAGGAACTGATAATTGCTTCAACTGGTCTGATTTGTGAAAATGCTTATTTTACTGTACTCTCGGAGAGTCTGCCCTAGTATGAGTCTTAAAAATCTTCTGGATAAACCAAATCGGAGAAGACCTTGCCCTGAACAAATCTTGAAATGAGTCTCAACAGGATATAAAAAAGGAACTTGCCCCTGATCGGATCGCTTGACCAATTTTCTCGCTTGTTTGAAAATTCCTTAGAGGAAAGCCAGTTTGCAAACAAAAATATTCATACAAACATAGTAACGCACAGTTCATGCAACTTTTGAAATCAGAATTATTTTTGAAAATGGAAAATAAATGAGTCGTTGATCAGAACACGGTGGTTCACAACACTCAAAGTTTAAAACAAAGGTGTAGTGTCAAAATAAATGATTTGCGAAGATCTTTTAGAGTCATCTTACGCAACTTTGTTGTAGTATGCTTTCAAAATAACCTTGCTTCAATGATGTCTTTTGAGGGTTGTAACGTGGTCTGGTTCACGGTTTAAACAAAGGATAAAGACTCAAAAGTTATTTGTACCCATCCCATCTATGTGATAATCTTAAGTCCTACGCTCAGTTAACTCATATTATGCATTCAGGTTCCTATAGGTTAGGAATTGCACTGATGGTAGAAATGATGATTCAGAAGTCAAGGAACCTTTGAAAAGGCAGTCACTACTTCCCTATAACCTTTGGTTATTTTTCATTGAGGACTTTCAAAATGAAGGGTTTAAAACTCCTCTTTTTATTATCCCTAAATTTTGCCTGAGCTGTTTTCTGTGAAGATTACAGTCAGCGGGATGTCTCAGTTTTACCTAAGTCTCCTTCATAGGTTTTGACTTAGCGAGCTTATATATTTTTATTTTCTTTTGAAAGAAAGTGACTGCTTGGACTTTAATGATTATGGTGAACCATCATCGACTTTGCGATTGGAAAACATCTTCGACACTTACTTGCTGCGTGCGAAGGAAAATTTGTGAGTGAAAGGTGTATGTACCCTTCACATACCTCAATATCCTTTTAGCTGCGATTAAATGAGAGGTGGTTGGCTTCACCATGTAACTGTTGATCATCCCTACACCATATGTGACATCAGGTCTTGTGTGACACAAGTATCTTAAGGAACCAACAAGCTGTTTAAACAGAGTAGGATTTACTTCCTCTTCATCATTCTCCAAGGATAACTTTGTTCCTGTATCAACAGGTGTTGCAGTTGGCTTGCAGTTTACCATGTTAAACCTTTTTAGCACATCTTGAGCATATTTCCTTTGATGAATAATCATTCCTTGATCATTTCTGTCAAACTCAATTCCTAGGAAGTATGTGAGTCTGCCTAAGTCAGACATCTCAAATACCTTCATCATGTTTTCCTTAAAAACCTTCATTTTAACTTCATTATTTCCAGTCACTATCATGTTATCCACATATAAACATACAATGAGATTATCTGTGGTATTCCTACTGTAAATTCCATGTTCATTTACACACTTCATGAAACCTTGTTGAACAAGAAAACTGTCTATTCTCTTGTTACAGGCCCTTGGGGCTTGCTTCAGCCCATACAAGGCTTTGTTCAGCTTATAAACACGTTCTTTCTTTCCTTCTATCTTAAATCCTGGTGGCTGATTCACATATACTTCTTCTTCTAGCTCACCATTCAAAAAAGTTGACTTTACATCTAGCTGATACATAGACCAGTCATTTTGAACTGCTATTGCCACAATCAGTCTGATTGTTTCCATTCTTGCTACTGGAGCATAGACTTCATAGTAATCATGTCCATGCCTTTGTAGGAATCCTCTTGCTACTAATCTAGCCTTGTATTTTGCCACTTGCCCATCTGGCCTTAGTTTTGTTTTTAAAACCCACTTGACATCAATACACCTCTTGTTAGCAGGTAATTTAACTAATTTCCAAGTCTCATTCTTTTCTATAGAAATCAGTTCTTCAATCATGGCTATCTTCCAATGTTTATGTTTTTAAAGCTTCTTCAAAAGACATTGGTTCAGTTTCAGCCAGCATTCCTAATTGCACTATATCACCCTCATCTGTGACTGCTTGATCAGGGAATCTCTCATAGTCTCTCAGCCTGGCTGGTGGTTGAGTATTCCTTGTTGGTCTATTGATTACTTCTGCACCTTCTTCATTTGTATCTTCATCAACTTCTTCTTGTTCCTCAATCTCACCTTCTTCTATCTCTAAGTCAGAGAGGGGTAAATGATTGTTACCTTTATGTGAGACCTTTTCTTTCCAATCCCATTCCTTTTATTCATCAAATCTTACATCTTTGTTGAATACTATCTTCTTATTATTTGGATTATATAGTTTGTATGCACCAGTTTGATGATAGCCAACCATAATCATTACTTGGGATTTATCATCTAACTTCCTTCTTAGTTGATCAGGCACGTGTCTGAAACATAATGAATCAAAAATTCTTAAATGCTGAACACTTGGTTTGACTCCACTTCATGCTTCCTCTGGTGTCTTTTCATGCAACTTCTTTGTAGGACTTCTGTTTATGAGATATGCTGCAATAGCAGCTGCTTCACCCCACATGAAATAAGGCATTTTCTTTTGCTTCAACATACTCCTTATCATATTTACTAGGG